AAAAAAAAAAAAAAAAAAATTAGCCAGGAGTGATGGTGCATGCCTGTAGTCCTAGTTGCCAGGGAGGCTGGGAGACGGGAGGATTGCTTGAGCCCAGGAGCTGGAGGCTGCAGTGAGCTATGATCGTGCCACTGCATTCTGGCCTGGGTGACAGAGCCAGACCCCATCCTGGAAGAAAACAAAAACTAAAACCACCAAAACAACAAAAAAGGCTTCACCAAGTCAAGGACAGCCTTCTCTAGTGCCCAAGCCTGGGTCCCCATGAGGCCCCTTGGAGGACGGAGTCACTCCAGAGCGTGGAACAGCAGCACTGTGGCCACAGGTTCGCTGTGAGCATGGCTCGGGGTGTAGGGCTGAGGGGAGCACCGTGCCTGGCATCCTGCGGAAACTCACCCGCTCGTTCTTGTCCGTGCAGAAGAGCCGCGTGTGGTGCCGCTTCTGCACCACGATGAACGTGATCCCGGGCTGGTAGTCTTTCTCCAGCTTGATACAGGCCTCGCGGATGGCCAGCAGCTCGTGGTGGAGAACCTAGGGGCCCGGGAGGGGAGGAGGCCGTGCTTAAAGATGGTAGTGCGTGTGAGCAATGGTCCCGCGTGTGCTATCTGGGTTTAGGAACGCCCAGCCGTGATGATTCGGAGAGACACTGTGTTCACGGGGAGATGAAAACACAGAGGGCAGACGCCATCCTCTCTACAGGGAGGACTGGATGGAGGAGGAGGGGCTTCGTGCTCAGAGTCGGGGAGAACACTTCCCCTGCAGGGCCCAGGATGTTGTGTGGGCCAGGGGTGCAGCCAAGGCCAGGGGCGCAGGCTGGGCTCTGAGCCCAGAAGGCACCCGCAGCGGCCAGGCTCCTGCAGAAGCTTGGGGCAGGCTCCAAGCCAGGAAGTGCCAGCCGGTCAAGGTGTATCCCTTTAGTCCTCCCAGCAGGCCACGGGCCTCAGGACTGAGCTCTGCCTCCACTCTGGACTGGGAAGGCAAACACGGGAGCTGGGCTGCATGCCAGCTGTTGATCAAGGAGGCAGGTTCCTGAGCTCCTGGGCAGCCACCAAGGATGTGTTCCTACTGGGTGGGGCTCCTCCCTCAACAGGTCCGGGGTGGCTTTCTTCTGCTTTCCTTGCTAACACCTCCCAAGGAAGCGAGCGTGTGATGTGGAGAGGGGTGGGAAGGAATTGGCGCCAGCCAACGGGAGAAACATTCGGGGCACCCATCGTCCAAGTTCCAGGCCAGGATGGACTCATTCCTGCCCACAGGTCATCTTGTCCGGTGGGTGCTGCAGGTGCTCTCAACCAAAGACAGCAACAAAGCCATCACCCTTCTGTGATGGCTCCCCTGCCCATCCAGACGCAGTGACCCACTATGGCCATCCCTGCCATTCTCCACATCCAGACAGTGGCCACGTTGGGGACTCTACTTTCAACAGAGCTGGCACCGATTCCTCCTCCCGGCCCTGCCTGCACACCTCTCACACTGCAGACAGCATCCCAGACATAATGTGCTCCCTGCCTTGCAAAGATACCCGACAGCTCTCCACAGCCTGCAAGGCAAAGCCAGGCTCTCGGGAAGCCCTCAGATGGAGCGCTGCTCTGCGAGTCAGCTGGACTCAAGCGTCTCTCCCTCATCTCTTGGTCCCCAAGCCCATACCCGCCCCTTCTCCTCTCCCTCCGTCCTGACTCAGTGTCACAGGTCATGGTCTCGACAGCCCGGTGTCCCATCTCCTCCCCGGACCCCCTTCCGTGCTGTGAGAAGATCAGCCTTGGGGCCAAATGAAAGCCACACCATTCCTGTCACTTATCAAGTGTAGTTCTGCTGCACAAACAGGTGAATTACAGACCCTGGAGAAGGGGAAGAAAGGTTCCAAGAGGCGCCTACCTGCTGGAACTGGCCCTCGGAGACGCCGTCGCGGTAGAAGATGATGCGGGTGGGCTTGAAGCGTGTGGACTTGTAGAACTGGATGAGGAGCTCGCGGACCATGGCGGCCAGGTCCTGAATGATCTCCTGCCGGTGCTGCTGCACGCGCACGGTGGCGCAGTAGCGATTGGGGTGGGCGTCCATGCTGCCCACCACCTGCGGGAACAGCCAGTGAGTGTGGTCAGGGGTTCCTGCAACTTTCCTCTCTGGAACTCATGTCATGGTCAAGTGACAATAGCTGTCTGGTATGAATTCACAGCCTTTAGGCTTTCAGTGTCTGGCAACAGGGTTCATAAATACGTCCCAAATTACAACAGTTTGCCAAGTTACATAGCTTAAAAAATTTAAAAATAAATAAATAAATAAAAAGACTGGGCGCAGTGGCTCACACCTGTAACCCCAGCACTGTGGAGGCCCAGGTGGGCGGATCACCTGAGGTCAGGAGTTTGAGACCAGCCTGGCCAAGATGGTGAAAACCCCATCTCTACTGAAAATACAAAAATTAGCCAGGCAGCTACTCAGGGGCCTGCGTAAGGAGAATTGCTTGAACCCAGGAGGTGGAAGTTGCAGTGAGCCAAGATCATGCCACGGCACTCTAGCCTGGGCGACAGGGTGAGATTCTGTCTCAAAAACAAAAGAACAGATTAGAACTCTCCTCTGCTTAGGATCAGAAGTGGCTGAATTCATCAGTCCAAAGAAGACAATGGGTGGGCGTGCCCCTATTTCTTCCAAAGAAACTACAAGCACATCAACGTGCAGCATCCCAAAGGCACGGCGGCCAGGCCAGCAGCCACTAAAGTGCCACGGCCACAAAGAGGGCAGGACGGCTCTGCAGGTCTTCTGTCGGGCAGGGGAGTGTAAGGATGAGGCGGCCCAGCCCCTGGAGGGAACTGGGTAGATCCCCAAGTGCTGCTCCAGCCCCTGGCTGGGGAAGGCAAGGTCCTTACATTTTGAAAAACACTGACGGAAATAAAACCTCTTATGTCACTGAAAAATAGGAACTGCTTCTTGGCAATCTGCCTCCTCCTTCGTAAATCCTTACAGAACAAGTTCTCTCCCAGTGAATTCTTCCACTATTCCACGTCCTTTGTCCTGCCTTGGGCTATAATTTTTCTCTTAAACCAAGAGAAAAATAAATAAGCTCTGAAATGTTTCCAGTTGGTATAAACAGAAATACATTAACATGAACAGAAATCTGTTCCTATTGATTGAGAATCGTAGGGATAGGGGATAAACACACAGCTTTCTCTGTTCCTGAAAACTTGAAAAAACAATCTAAGCCTCCAAAAGCCTGAGATATGCTTGAACGCCTCATAACATGTGTGCAGAAAAAAAGCTAATGGGGACCAGGTGAGGCAGGGACAGGGGAGTGGGCCAGCCTACTGTGCTGCGAGCTTTCCCCAGCTACAGGACCCTCGGGGCTCCCTCCCAGGCAACTGGTGCCCCGCTGTGCCTCCGAGATGGCCGTGTGGTGCTTCACCATCAGAGGAAAGGGTTGAAAACGACTCAGCATGGGCAGGTTCGGCGGCTCATGCCTGTCATTCCAGTACTTTGGGATGTTGAGGCGGGTGGATCACCTGAGGTCAGGGGTTCGAGGCCAGCCTGGCCAACATGGTCTTGAAAAAATACAAAAATTAGCCAGCCACGGTGCCAGGTGGCTGTAATCCCAGCGACTCAGGAGGCTGAGGCATGAGAATTGCCTGAACCTAGGAGGCAGAGGTTGCAGTAAGCCGAGATTGTACCACTGCACTCCAGCCTGGGTGACAGTTATTCTGTCTCAAAAAAGACAACCAAAATAACAAAACAAAAAAAACGCCTCAGCAAAGTGAGCAGCACCGTAAGCACGGGCGTGGTGGGGTTGTGATTATCACGCCAAGCAGGAATTAGTTGGCACGATGTCAGCCTCCTAATGGAAGTGTGCCTGGGTAACACCAGAGAATGGATCATATGCTGGTCTCCTTCTGCCTGGGCAGCTCGAATGGCTTCCCTGTGTCCCAGATAGATTCTCCTGCTCCATATTGCCTCCCAGCTAATGCAATAATCACGCTAGCGTTTTCTTTTTCTCTTTCTGCCTTTTTTTTCTTTTGAGACAAAATCTCACTTTGTTGGCCAGGCTGGAGTGCAAGTGGCCTGATCTCGTCTTGCTGCAGCCTCCACCTCCTGGGCTCCGGCTCCTCCCACCTCAGCCTCCTAGGTAGCAGGGGCTACGGGCACACCACCACCTCCAGCTCTTTTTGTAGAGATGGGGGTTCATCGTGTTGCCCAGGCTGGAATGTGAGCATTTTTTGAGCATCTACTACGTGCCAAGCACTTAACTACATCATTTCCTAATATTCCCATGAGGTCAACATTTGTTTCCTCATTTTACACCCAAGAAAGTTCTGAAGCAATATGCTCACTGCCCAAGAGCAACAGAAGGAAAACAGACGCAGCTCTGGCCTGTCTGAGGTTTGGGGCTGTGTCCCTAGACAGAGTTTTCACACCCTGGGGGCTCGGGGTCATCACACCCTAGGCTACCAGCGGCCAGTCAGGCCCCCATGTGCAAGGGGACTCCTTGAACCTCAGACCTCCCCGAGGGCTGGGATTCCAGGCATGAGCCCCCGTGCCTGCCCTCCAGCTGCTTCTTAGAACTTATTTTGTGTCATTGTAGTAACCCATCCAAACACCTCTCCCACACGACCCTGGCCTCCCTACTGCAGCTTAGTGAGACCCCATGCCTCTCAGGAAGGAACCCTGGCCACACTGTGGCAGCGGGACCTTGACAGGGTCCCGAATGTCATTAACAAGAGACCCGTGGGAAAGTGCTGACACTCACGGCGGCAATGGAGGGCTTCTTCCCATCCCCGGCGGGCGGGTGAGTGACATCCGCTCCCAGAAAGATGACGGGCTGCTGGAACACCGGCGGCCTGTGGAGAGGAGCAGCGTCAGGGGCCACGGCGAGACACGCCTGGACCTCTCACACTAGGAGGTGCCATCGTCCTGTTTTGGAGGTGGTCAGTGTGTCAAGGTGATCCTTTTGAAAAGAATCCTGATCTTCTAACAGGAATACCGAAAACCTTGCAGATTAAATGATATGAGGTCTGAAATCTGCTTCAGAATGGCCGGAGGTTGGGGCTTGGGTGGAGTGCACCCCACCCAGAGGGGCCAGGGGCTGACAGCTGTGGAGGTGCGGCTCAGGCCAGGGAGTACTCACTCTCCACCCTCCACAGCCACACTCATGCCAGGCTTTCTCACCAACCCCCCAGGCCTGCTGGCTCTTTGTTGGGGTGGGGGCTGTCCTGAGTGTGGACGGATCTTGAGTGGCAGGCCTGGCGTTCACCCACTGGAGTCCACCAGCACCCCCTCTGGCCTGACACTCCAGCGTGTGTCCAGACATTACTACATACCCCTGGCAGCAAAACTACCCCACAGGGAACTTTCAGACCCTGAGTGTATCCCAGCGGTGGCTTCCTCGGGAGGCAGCTAGCGAGGGAGCAGGGACAGGCACATGGGCCTCGGGCTCTCCGGGGAAAGGCCAAGGCTAACAGCACCTCCCTCTGGGCACTGCTGCCGGGTTGAGAGTGCACCGCCCTGCACCCCACCCAGCCTTGCCTGGGCGCTGCAGGCAACGTCAGGAAGCATCAGAAGTGGCCGCTCTGCCAGCCCTGCTACCCTCGCCTCTGCTGCCCTCTCCCGGCATCCATGTCCCCACGAGCTTGTGACTCACTCCCCACCCACTCTCTCTCCAGCGGAGCTCCCTGAGTCAGTCAAACCCATCACTGCTCACGCTGGCTCCCAGGCCCCTGCTAGTCAGACTTCCTGTGGCCACAGCAACAAGGCTCTTCTTCCCAAGGTCACTGGTGACCTCTGCATCACAGACCCACGGCCATGCCTCCGGCCTCGCTGCATCTGGCTGGCCATAGGACACACTTCCTTTGGTGCCTAGGGCCTTGTGCCTGGCCTCCCCACCCCAGCCTCTCCCATCTCCGCTGCTGGTTCCTCCCACTCCAGGCCTTGAACTCCAGCCTTCTCCAAGGCCCAGGGCTTGGGCTACCACCTGTCTGCTTGAGGATTCCTGGATCCTGTCTCCCCTGACGCCAGCCTCCTGGTTCCCAATGTCCACTCAACCTCTGCACTCAGAAGCTCTGCAGAGGCCTCGGGGTCCAGTTCACCCACATCCGGTGCTCACCTTCCCAACAGCCTCCCTGTCTAATGCCGACGGGGTCTCTCCTGCAATCCGGCCAAGAGCCTAGATTTTTCCTTCAGGCACAGCGCAATCCAACCTGCCAGCAAGCCCTGGGGCTCTCTATTCAAAACAACTCAGACTCTAGGCGCTCCCTCCCCGTCCCCCTGCTCTGGCCTGGCCAGGCCACCAGCCCTTCTTGGCTTCATGGACCCAGAGCTGGCCACGCTGTTAGTCAGGTGCCTCCAGATGGCCCCAGTCGACTGGAGGGAGCCTTAGTTCCCCAGCGGCCCCTAGGCTGCACGTGGGTGGGCCTGTCTCCCGTCTGCCCTCACGGCCCTCCCACAGCTCTGCTGTGCACCTGCCACCTGTGTGATGGGCTCATGATCGTCTCACCTGGGTGCCTCCACCAGGATTTCTGGCCCTGTGCTGCCCAATTATGGCCCAGACTCCCTGCACACAGTAGGCACTCAATAAATACAGAACCTGTGGACTAAGGAGCAGCACTTTCAGTTCTCAGGCAGCTCCGGATTGGTCTTTGCTCATTCCCATGCACCTGTCTCACCGCAGGGCCCGTGCCCACGCCCACAGCCGTCCGACTTGGAATCCGGGTTCTTCCCACGGTATCTCCCTGTTCCCTGATGAATTCAACGGATTGTTTCCGGGAGTGTATAACTCGGTGGCCCTCAAAGCCTGGTCCTGCGTGCAGCAGCATCAGCACTGCGTGTCCACTTGCTAGGGGTGGAAATTCCTGGCCCCGATCAGTCCTGCTGAGTAGGACACTCTGGAAATGAGCCCCGCTGGGGTTCAGATGTGAGGACACTGTGGTGACCCAGCACAGGCCTGTGCACACAGCAGGGGCTCACCACCGCCCACTTGCCAAATACAGAGGGTCACTGCCTTAAGGCAGTTCAATTTAGGATTCTTAACTCTGTGATGGTGAGGGCGAAGGAGATTTAGCACACTGCCTGGCTTAGGATGGCTTTCTCAGATGAGCCCCACCGTGACTGCAAGCTCCAGCAGATCCACACCACGGGGGCTGCCCACAGCCTCCACAGTCCCCTTCTGCACAAATGCACACGTTATCTGATTCTACGTATTCTCCGTTGTCATCCAAATGTTAAGAGAACTGCCAGGGTTGGCAAAGATGCTGGTCATCGTGGAGACGTCTTTCTCGCCTACATCACAGGTTGGTGGCCTCAGAGGAGTGGAAGAAGCAAACACCGGCCCCGCCCTAGACTGGATGCTTAGTGGGTCAGGACATGCCCAAGGAGGGTGCAGCTCCATCACCCCCCACACCGTCAGCCCTGAGCCTCTGAGGCAGGCAGGTGGCCACACGTCCTGCCCTGGCCTGGGAGCTGCCAACAGTGTGTCCCATAAGGAGCTTTTAGTCCAAAGTCCCCGCATGATGTAGCATCCATGCCCAGCCTGGTGTGGGAAGCATGGGGGTCCCTGGTCCACACAGCAGTTACTGCTGCGGAGGGGGAAGCCCATCTCCTGGTCCCTTGAGGCGTGCCCTGCTCTGCCTTCCCCACTGACATTCAAGGCGTGAATTTCTGTGTCTGGAAACCCAGCCACAGTGCTCAAGCTCCTGCAGATGCCCCTGGCCCCCAGCAGAGCTTGAGCGGCCAGATCTATGTCTGACATCTTTGCTCTGCTGTGGCCAGGACAGCGCTGGCCCAGGTGAAGGAACCCTGCCCCGCTGCACACCGCACCCCACCCGGCCAGGAGTCCCACAGTGCCTGGTCCGCAGGCGGACGGGAAGGCTCCAGGCCTCACCTGCCCTGGGGCAGCAGGATGTTGTTCACGCCTCCCAGCTTAACGTTGATCTTCAGACAGAGGTTGGACAGGGTCTGTGGCGTGGTCCTCTGCACGTTCTTCATCTGCACGCACTGCGTGGCCATCCCCAGTACCGTGTCTCCCACACGCTTGACCTCAGCTAAAGGACACAAGAGGCACAGACACAGCTCTGCTGGTGCCCCTTCCTCAGCCGGCCCTGAGCACAGCAGCTGCCACCAGCCCTCTCACCCCCATCTGGCAGTGCAACCACGGCAGCTGTGCTGGGCTTTGTGTGTCCCCCTCTGTCCAAGGTCACTGGCCCCGAGAGGGACCCCACGCTCCTTGGAGTCCAGGCTCCAGCATGGCCGTGCCCACCTCGCCCAGGGCAGGCTTCCCCTCCTCCCTTAGGAAGGGAAGCTGGGTGAGTCTATCTCATCCCTCCAGTTTATGAACAAAACCATTTAAACCCCTAATCCAGGGCTCCAGGGCAAGGGAGAAAGAGCTCAGCCAGAAGGAAGGACTCGCCTCTCCTGCTTAGGAAGGCCACTCACACTGGCCGGGCGTGATGGCTCATGCCTGTAATCCCAGCACGCTGGGAGGCCAAGGCAGGCAGATCACCTGAGGCCAGGAGTTTGAGACCAGTCAGGCTAACACGGTGAAACCCCGTCTCTTCTAATAAAACAAAAATTAGCCAGGCATGGTGGCATGTGCCTGTAATCCCAGCTACTTGGGAAGTTGAGGAGGGAGAATCACTTGAACTCAGGAGGCAGAGGCTGCAGTTAGCCAAAATCACACCACTGTACTCAATTCTGTCTGAATTGAGACAAGCCAGCCCTTGTCTCAATTAAAAAAAAGAAAAATAAAAGGAAGGCCACTCACACCACAGTGCTCTGGCTGCAGGCAAATGCTTGGGTGGTTAAAAATAAAAACACTGGCACCCTCAAAATCCTTGGCAGATGTAAACCCGACATCAAAGAGCTCCATGGCTCCCCCCACCCCCCAGCTATTCCTGGTCTCTTTCATGAAGCAACTGGTCAGCTGCTCACTGGGCAGCCTGGGAAACAGCGACTCCCAGGACAATGTCACCAGGATGTCAACAGCAATAGCTCTATCTTTCCTTCTTTTTTTGGGATGTTGAACTTGGAGGAGAGAAGTGTGGCTTTTACGTGTCAATAATGTGTCCATGGCTGGATGTGGGGCCCTGTGGGTGACCCCCTGGCACAAAGGACTTTGGCAAAACTCCACAAAATTCTGTGGTGGGCACAGAGATGACACATGGGCAGGGAGCTGACCTTAGTGCTACGCTCCGCGCATGGAACAACTGCACCTGCATCCAGCTGACACACATGTGGTGTGGGGGACATGCTGCCCACACACGTGCCAAGGCCTGTGCCACTTGAGGCTACTGGCTGCCCAGGACCATGGCGTCACACAGGATGACGGAAAGGTCCTGAACACAGATGTGACAGTGATCAGAAGCCACCTCTTCTTTCTCAGCCTCCCAAAAGGAGCACCTTCTCAGTGCAGCAGAAACACAGAGGGGCTGTGGAAGGAACAAACACCCACAGAGACCACGACCCCTCCCCACAGCCAGCAGGAGGCCCACACTTACCGTATACTGGCGTCTTGCCGGGCAGAATGACCACCACCAGCTGCAGGCCTGCGTACGTGTTCTTCAGGTGCCGGAACATGGGCTCCACGCTGTCCGCCCCCTGTGCGTATTTGCAGAAGCATGGCTGGCCCTGGATGGGCATGCCGGCGTCCCGCGAGATCTTTCTGAGCTGCTCTGTGAAGGACCTGGAGGAGAGGGCTCAGTTCGCTACACTGCACTGGGAACGGCGGAGAACTCAGACGGACCAGAGGCCCTCAAGCAAGGCCAGCATTTTTACGAAGCCCAAAGCACTGTTACTGAGCTCAAAGCTTTTCTTTACGCCCCGGACAAAGCCAGAATTCAGAGCTACGTCTCCTAAAACATACTAACTCATGAGAAAGGTGAAGGGTGCTCAACAGACGTGTAAGGACACTTGAAAGTCACGTGTGGCTAACCCGCCATGATAACAGCAGCCTTTGCACCGCGCTAATGCTGCCTCGAGGCGGCGATGGCTCCGGAGCGGAGATGCTATGCTGTCCCTGCGGAGCTGCCGAGCAGCCCCGAGAGCTCGGGAGAAGGAGGCCAGCACTCTCCCTATGCACGGGGCAGGCACCGTCAGAGCCGGGGACATTTCCAGCTCACCGTCCTTCTACATCTTTCCCCCCAGTTGTTCTGATGGGCACAACTTGGACTGCGTGACATCATCACGAGAGAAACACAGCACCCTGCGGCACAGCCCGAGGAGAGGCAGCAGCTGGCTGCACCGGCCTTGAGAAGCTAGGGCGGGGTGGGAGGCAGGGCAGCGGCTGCTATTTTAAGCCGAAGACTAAGAATCATGTCACCTTCTACAATAAGGGCGAGGACACGGCACTCCAACCCAGCCAGTGTCCAATTTCCTGTACATTACAGCAGGTCAAGAAGCATGTGTGTGTCCACCCATATCTTCAGCTCCAGGACAGAGCGAAGGAAGGGGCCGAGGACAGAAGACAGGGCAGAAAGCGACCCCGTGTTCAGACTCTAACCTACTTCAGTTTGTATCCCAGACCTCCACTCTGGGCTTCCGGCTCCTTTGCCAGCAGTGTGGACACAAGGTGGCCTCAGAAGGACAGATGGCCACTTGCCAGCAAGATGTCAGCTCCAGGAGCCAGGCCCGTTCACGTCCGCCCTTGCTGGAACGGCCAAGGCACCCGCTACAACTCCGAGGCAGGAGTTCTCCCCTGTTGCCCCCACAGAGTGGGGAACGAAGACTTTATGTTTCCTTTGAAGCCTGGCAAAAAGGCATGAGCCACACTACTGTGTGCTCCCAACACCAGGTCCGGCTGGCCCCATCCCTGGCACAGCTGTGCTGACTGAGGCAAGGGTCCCGGCTGAGGGGTAGGCGCTACCATGGCACTCGGGCTTCCTAGAGGGCCCGACACTCACCTGGGCAGGTGGCAGAGACACAAACCAAAACTTCTCTCCTCTTATTTCCATTACTCCCCTTGTACGGGAAGGAAGATAATACTCCCAGCCTTTCCACCTCTCTATTTCACCATCTCTTCCTGATTATTTTTCTTGAGATGGAGTCTCACTTTTTTACCCAGGCTGGAGTGCAGTGCCGTGATCTTGGTTCACTGCAACCTCTGCCTCCCAGGTTCAAGTGATTCTCCAGCCTCAGGGCCCCGAGTAACTGGTACTACAGGCATTGTGCCACCACACCTAATTTTTATAATTTTTGTAGAGATGGGCTGGTCTCAAACTCCTGACAGCAAGTGATCCTCCTGCCTCAGCTTCCCAAAGTGCTGGGGGTTACCAGCGTGAGCCACTGTGCCCAGCCCATCTCTCTCTGATTCGGTCTTCATTTTCTCCTTCTAACTTAATTTACACAAATATGCAGCTAAATTATTTTTTAAAATAACTGTAGTTCATTGAATCTAATTTTCTCTTTTGCCCTTACTTACAAACTTCCTCACATCCTGTTTGGTTTTTTTTTGAGACAGAGTCTCACTCTGTCGCCCAGGCTGGAGTGCAGTGGTGTGATCTTGGCTCACTGCAACCTCCACCTCCTGGGTTCAAGCGATTCCTCCCTCAGCCTCCTGAGCACCTATACAGGGAGCATAGGCGTCCACCACCACAGCTGGCTAATTTTTGTATTTTTAGTAGACACGGGGTTTCACCATATTGGCCAGGCTGGTCTTGAACTCCTGACTTCATGATCCACCCACCTTGGCCTCCCAAAGTGCTGGATTACAGGCATGAGCCAGCGCGCCCAGCCAGATCCTGTTTGGTTCTGTCTATGGTCTGCACTACTTCTTGATGCTAACTGCAAAGGTGGGTCCCAGCAGCGAGAGAAGCACCGATGAGGCCTGCATGTGTTGCCCTGGCCCAGCCAGCGGTCTTTGACAGGGAAAGGCTGATGAACCCTGACATCAAAACCCATGCCAGCGCCCTCACCCCGTCCCACCCACAGTCAGTCCTGCAAGTGTTCCCTCCAGCTGCCCAGCGGGCAGGACTCAGGCCGGAGCCTCTGCCTGTGGCGGCCTTACTTCAGATGGACTTCTGTGCACTGGCGCTGGGGGGCGAAGCACGCGATGGCCCACACCTTGATCTCGATGCCCGTGTGAAACTGCTTGTTCCGCATGTCCCAGACGCCCTGGACAGGGGTCGCAATCGCTTTATTCTGCAAATGGCAAAAGGTTCAGGGTGAGAAAAAATGGAAGACATATTCCTTTAACCTTGAGTTCATCACTCTCATTGTTGGTCCCCCGACCAATGACAGCTCCTCGGGTAAAGAACTTTCTTGTTGTTTCCTGTCTCTGACCTGCCTAGTGATGCAGACAACCGGAGGATGGTTAGATGCGTGGGCTGGTGAAGGTGGCTGGGTGGGCGGGTGGTTGATGGGTGGGTAAGGTGGCTGGGTGTTTGATGCGTGGATAAGGTGGGTGGGTGGGTGGTTGATGGGTGGGTAAGGTGGGTGGGTGGATGGTTGATGGGTGGGTAAGGTGGGTGGATGGTTGATGGGTGGATAAGGTGGGTGGGTGG